CACGCAGTCCTTGTGCGTAGTCCCCTCAGGAGTTGTGTTTACTGAGCTGCTGCAAAGTCTTCCCTGAGAATTAGAAACTTCCTTCAAGATTGAGCAACCCAGAGAAATGAACTAGTAAAAGACTAAATCCAAAGTGTACTTGCTTTCTAAATTATGTAGCTTTAAACATTTTTATATTTTACAAAAAAGGAAAGGAAAACAGTGGAAACAAAGCTTTTGTAAATGAAGGGAAAAGCAATTAAAGTAAGGAGTGGGGAATGGGAAAGAACCAAGATAAATTGTGTACAGGTAGGTACACACTCCCTATGATGAATGTGCTCCATATGTATATCTAAAATATACTAAGAAAAATTTAAGTTTCAAAAAGATACATTTGAAAGTGAAAAAAATAAAATGTATTATTAAATCTAAGGAAAGTAAATATTAAAAGTAAAAACTAAGTAATTGAAAAGATAAAATTAAGACCAAAGATTGATCCTTTGAGATTAATAAAGTTAAGCCCTTAGCAAAATTGTAAGAAAAAAATAAAACTCAGATTACCTTTATTATGTGTGAAATAGGGACATTATTATAAGTCTTACAGGTCAGTGAGGACTCAGGACATAGGAGAACCTGTACTGTAACATCCTGTAACTCAGTGGTTTCCCAAATTTTCTGATCAAGGAGATTATGGGGCCACAGGGGAAAGTGATCGATGATGTAGAGTGTGCCTAAGGAGAGTCACATGGGGAGAAAACATTCTCTCAGGCTTTCACAGAGAGCAAACTGGTCAAGCAATGGCCGTGACTCATCCACATGGCTGACACTGACAATAGATCTACAAACTGCGGTACAGGGTTTCAGGATAAATCCTAAGGAGATTTCACTGACCTTGTCAAATACAAGTTACATTTCTAGTTATATAGATCTTGCTTTATCTTGGTCTTAACAATCCAGCAGAAAAGTATAAAAATGAGGTATAAAAAGTAAAGCCGTATTAATATGCTGAGCTGTAAAAGGCTCAAGTCAACGACTTCTGACATTGCCCATCCTTCGGAAAACCCAGTACTTTTATGGACTATTGGACTATATTGGAATACTTTGCTGAATTCATGCATCTACAATATTTAAATGACAATGGAATACCCTTCTCTGACAAAACTAAACAAAAGGGATACAAATGAAGGACCATTTTATATCTCTATTTTCAAAATAGGATAGATACACAGCTGCATTCTCTTAATGAATAGAAAGATTTGTTCTAATATTTGTAAACAGGATATCATGTCTGCATCTTGTACTATGAATAACCACTAAGACAACAGTGTGCAATGTATTAATTATTGAAACTGTGCTAGTAATCAGTTTTGACAGGATAAATGCTGAGGGTACTTGACTGATCTTAGCAGATACAAAAGTTACATTTCTAGTTATATAGGTCTTGCTTTATCTTGGTCTTAACTATCCAGCAGAAAAGTATAAAAATGAGGTATATAAAGGAAAGCCATATTAATACGATGAGCTGTAAAAGGCTCAAGTCAATGACTTCTGATAACCCACTAATATTATAGACTGCTAGACAGTGTTGGATTGTTTAGCTGAATTCAAACACCTTAGTATTTAGATGCCAATAGAATATCCACCTCTGACAGGACTGAAAAAAAAAGGATACAAAAGAAAGATCATTTTGTATTTATATATACAAAATAGTTTGGATAAATTTACAGCTACTTCACTTAATTCAGTTTGAGAAGAACAAGGTGTACTAATAGTGTTTGGACAGAATATCCTGTCTGCTTCTTGTACTATGGATAACCACTAAGAAGATAACAATGTACAATGTATTGATTATCGAAACTGTCCTACTAATCACCTTTGAAACTCATTCATATTTGTTTCTCAATTAAATTAAAAAATAAAAAATCAGTTTTGAATCTCATTGCTATTTCTCAATAAAATTATTAAAAAATAAAAGTTGTCACATCAAAAAAAAATTATGTCTTACAGATGTTAAAAGGAGAATAAGAGCCTAGCACGGCAGTTCACATCTGTATTCCCAGCTGTTTGGGAACCGCAGGAGGACCGAAAGTTCAAGCTCTGCCTGGGCAATTTAGCAAGACTGTTTCAAAATTTTTAGAAAAATAAGGTTTTGTTGTTGTTTAAGTGCTGGGGCTGTAGCTCAGTGATGGAACACTTGCCTAGCATATGTGAGGTCGTGGGTGTAAGCCTGAGGACTTTTTTTGAAAAAGTTCATCTGCCATTTTAACAGAATAAAGGAGATGAAGTTCATGCAGAAAAAAACATTTGATAAAATTCAACTTTGGCTCTTGATTTAAAATTCACCAAACAAGGAATAGGAGGAGACCATTCCTATCCCTTAAAGGACACTGTGAAAAGCCCCCATCTGACATCATTCTTGGAAAAGCTGAGCT